CTGATGGAATGGGAGAAGATATTTGCAAATGACATGTCATATAAAGGGATAGTATCCAAAATCTATAAAGAACTTGTCAAACTCAACAACCAAAAAACAGTTCAGAGAAGAAATAGGCAGAAGACATGAATAGACACTTTTCCAAAGAAGACATCCAAGTGGCTAACAGACACATGAAAAGATGCTCAATATCACTCATCATCAGAGAAATACAAATAAAAACCACAATGAGATACCATCTCACACCTGTCAGAAGGACTAAAATAAACAACTCAGGAAACCAGATTTTGGTGAGGCTGTGGAGAAAAGGGAACACTTTTGCACTGTTGGTGGGAATGCAAATTGGTACAGAAACTCTGCAAATGGAGGTTCCTCAAAAAGTTAAAAATAGAGCTACCCTATGACCCAGGAATTGCACTACTAGGTATTTTTCCAAAGGATACACAAATGCTGATTCTAAGGGGCACATGCACCCCCATGTTTACAGCAGCACTACTGACACTAGCAAAATTACAGAAAGAGCCCAATGTCCATTGACTGATGAATGGATAAAGATATGGTGTGTGTGTGTGTGTGTGTTGTGTGTGTGTGTGTATAATATACATCTACATTATATATATTATACATATAATGTAATGTTATTTGGTGATCAAAAAGAATGAAATCTTGCCATTTGTAACAACATGGATGGAACTAGAATATATTATGATAGGTGAAATAAGTCAGTCAGAAAGATAAATATCATACGACTTCACTCATATGTGGAATTTAAGAAACACAGCAGATGAACATAGGGTAAAGGAATGAAAAATAAGATAAAAACAGAGAGGAAGGCCAACCATAAGATATTTTTAAATACAGAGAACAAACTGAGGGTTGCTGGAGGGGAGGGGGGCAGATGGGTTAAATGGGTGATATGCATTAAGGAGGGAACTTGTTGGAATGAGCATTGTAAGTGATGAATCACTGGGTTCTCCTCCTAAAACCAGTATTACACTGTATGTTAACTAACTTGAATTAAATAAATAAATAAAGTGAGGTTCTTACTGATGCAAATATAATAGTAAAAGTTTCAACTCTAGGAAGTCAAAGAGTACAGAGAACACTAATAGGGACTGACAGGGTTTGGTGATTGAGATGAAAAACTGAAGGAAACATTATTTCAGTCTGTAATACAATAATGAAAGGTGCAGAGGGGCAAGAACGCTTCCCTGAACTCTTCTTTTCTGAACCATGTTCATATAGGTTTTGAATTAACCATATTTCATTAATATTCTTTGGGAATCACTGTTTATCTATTTCACATATACTATCTCATAATTAAATAAACTGTTCAGTTAGTCAGCTTATCATTCCATCTGACCAGTTTATGTAAGTACAATTCACTCTATATTCAAAAGTAACAAACCATAAGCCCAAATCCAAAAAGCCCAAAATACCCTGATGCCTGTATTATTTCTTCTGACCCGTAATCAGTTACTATCATAATTTGGGTGGCCTCCAGCTTGATCTATTATAGAACTTTTTCACCCAGGGTGGCTGGAGGCAGAGGAGTCATTGGGAAGCTGGAGTGAGGCAAGACTATTCAAGTCAGAAAAACTATCCCAGCTAGAGCGACTAGTACAGAGAAGGAAAAGAGTCTAAGAAAGCCTCAGCCCTCATTTCTGACATCACGATATGGATGCAACAGTGGGAAGTCTGCCTCTCCATGAAATTGGAGATCAGGTACATAAGGTCACCTTCTGAGTTGAACTAGTAAAATTCACAGACAATGGGGATATGATTAGTCATCTGTGGGAGTAAAACAAGAGACTGTAAAATACATGGACCTCACAAAGCTCCAATCAAGGTAGGTGATTTGGTGTAATCAGAGGAAGGCAGATCCAGAATGTGAATGTCATTTAGTAGAGGATATTTAATCAATTGAATTGTACATTGCCTAGAGGAAGACTGGGTGAAGGTGGATGGGGGTGTGGACAGAAGCAGAAGTAATCAACTTGGGCTACAGAAAATGAAAACCCAAGCACTGTGCAGAGGAAAGACCCTGCCCTTCATGGCTGCCAGAGAAGTATGCTCTACTGTGGGACGAGTGTCTCTTCTGATCTTTCTTCAATACTCTCCGCATTCTTTGTTCAGCATTCATGTTCATTTTGTTCCTGGGGACTGGACATAAGAAGATAGGTCTCCCATGGTAAATTTGTAAGTTGACTATTGAGTAACCTCATGGTTAATTCAAGTGACCTTGAATTCTGAAAACTTCTGAGATCCTGATGAGGATAAATGATACAATTTGGAAGGTGGTCAAGGGGATACTACCCATGAGACCCCTTGATAGGCAGCCACAGCCTTCCCCTGGGAAAGCAGTGACCTCATCTTCAGTCTTTCCTTGCCTTCAATAGACAGTGCCACAGTATTCACTTAGGTCAAGGATTCTTAATCTGATTAGGCCCAATGAGCTAATTGTTTTTTAAAGAAACTGTTTATATTCCATCAACATTATTTCTATTTTGTTTGCTTTTGTGGAAGACCAGCTTAAGACCACTCTGGCTGTTCTTATCCATTCAGTGGCCTGAGCAGTGGGAGCTGCAGACCAGTCTTCAGTGGTAGGCTGAGTGCTCCAGTCTTCAGTAGGGAACTGCTGAATAGGGACAGAGGACACCTGCATGCCCTCAGACCAGTCTTAACTTCAAGTTGAGTAGTAATAAACTCTGGAACTGGAGCAGTCCATTCACCCTGAAATTCCTCCTTGATCACACAGCCTTTTTAGCAGCAGCTTGCTCTTCCTTTCCAATCTCTTCAGGATCACTGCATAAGTAGACATCAGGCATGACCTTTCATGGATGTTCATGGGAAACAGTGTCGCACATGTGCAGAACTCCCCAGTCAGCATCAACATCAGACCCACTGAGTGAACTCCCTTGTTGCAAGGGATGGCAATGTCCACATAGCACAGAGGACAGTCTGTGTTACACAGAACAACGGTAGGCAGGTTAACATAAGACACCTCTGTGAGAGGCTGGTGGTCAGCCCTTGGATCAGTTCTGATTACCAGAAAACTCAGCTCCAAGAAGGCTGCCTGGCTTTGGTTAGTGAAGATTCTAGGAGTGAAGCAGCCAGCAATAGGAATGGCTCCAGCAACAGCAGCAGCAAACTCCAGCACAGCTTGCTGGCCGTATTCCTGGATGATATGACACTGACATGAGCCAGGTTTCCAGTGGCAACAATTGCTTGAGCTGCCAACAGAAGCTTCTCTCAGTTCTCTTCAGATTTATGATGTAGATACCATCACTTTTCCTTTTGTAGATGTACTGTTCCATTTGGAACAGCAACACAAGGTTGGTGCCACCTAAGTGGGTTCCTGCCACAAGGAATTTGAGGGTATCCTATTCCTTCATTTGCACGACATTGAGCGTTCCAGACACTGTGAAAGTTTCCCTTTAAGTTACGACAGGAACGTGAAACAATGCCATATAGACCCCTCCCTGGGTAGCGCAGAAAGCCAATGACCTAATTTTAAATGAACGTTTTGTTAAGTCTGATTTACTACTATGAAAAGAAATTCACAGATAATAAACCACCTATGCACATATTTTAAATATAATATCCTAACTATAAAAATAAAGAAAAATACTGTTAGAAGAGGAATATTTGGTAATAAAATTTTAGTATGTATTGGAATATATTAGTGCTTGGGGATGACTAACTAGAAGATAGAATGAAGTAATCCATTGCTTTGAGATCACAGTGACAGGTGTGCTGGCAACTCAAATACCCAGAATGATGTCACTGTCAGTGAGATGCTTTTCTGAAATTATAACTACTGCTGGTAAAGTTCTGAACCAAACAGAGTACAGTCTTCTCTTCCTTTAAAAAAGCTTAGAGGGCACGTATGGAAAATTCCATGTATATTAAAACTATGCAAAAGTAACTTGTGTTTCCAAGTAAAATGGGACTGAATTCCACATCCAGACAATTATAAACAGGTTTTTGCACACAAATGTCCAATGTGACTTTTGAAGGTTACATGGGACACACAACATTTCTCGTTAAGGTATCTGTGCTGCACACAAGTGCATAATAGCATCCTTGGTTCCCTCTCACTAAATGCCACTTAGTGCCCCTCCCAATAATTGTGGCAATAAAAAATGCCCCCCTGAGTTTCCAATACATCCCTCAGGGGTATTTCCACTCCTGTTGAGAGACACTGAATTAAATCAACAGGAATCAACATGAGGATCCAATCAGACAAATGTGTCCTGTCCCAAGACATAATCATTCCTTGACTTAGCATCAGAAAACCTCAGCTCACGGGGAGAAGAGATAAGGATGGATGAAATCTAGTACTAGAAGGAGAAGCAGAGTTCTAGGCAGGAAAGGAGTAAGAATTTAGGAGACGAAACCAGGGTAATCGTTCACCTCTGGTATTTGGACCAACATACAGGGAAGGGCCAACATAGGAAGAACTTTGTGGGGCCACACATGTACCCGGGTTAGTTCTGGGTAGCAGTTATCCCAGACCTGGGTGAAAGGGAAGAATCTGTGGCCAACACGGGAACCTGGATGTAGTAACTTGGGTCCTAACACTTGGGTCTGGGTATGTGACTTATTTCCAAACCCCTTACACATAGCACCAGCCAGAAATGATTCAGCATTAGGCCTGGGCTTAAGTCTTCTCAAATAATAGCAGCTGAGAAGATGAGAAGATAGCAAAGGAAGGAAAGACCAACAGCCACAGTTTATCAATGCCACACATGTGATTGGAGAGGGGATATCTATACATCATTTGATTTTCTTCTATTAGAGTGTTTTTTTGCCTTCATTTAAACACAAACTAATCAACTCTTTCTTCAAACAAAAACACATGTTCAAGAGAACAAGATTTGGGCATTCATAAACCATTTCACCTACCCCCACATCATTTATTTGTTGGCTTCCTGTGGGTGGACATGAAACAACTGCTTGGAACTCAGATTTGGAGTCCATTTCCAAAAGTGGGGTCATGAGGCGTGACCATAAATCAAGGCAATGGTTATACTGAGTACCACAATTTATAAGGATAAATACATAATTTTGCCTGGATCCTGGACTAAGGCCAGCCCTACAACCCATGCTTTGTGACTCAGTGGCCAAATAACACCCACGTAAACCCAATATTCCCTGAAGACCATATCAACAGGATGATGCTTCAGCTCCTGTGACCATTCCCAAAGTCCTATCTAAGACAATTATCTAATCTCTGCTCAGAAATCAAATTACCCAATGCTGTTACTCTACTGGCTTGAGCAGGCTTCTTTGTGCATATGGTTCCTGGAAAATATAAAAATATGCTGTTATTTCAATCACCACCTTTTCAAAGTTCTTATTGCTTCATCTGTCCTATGTTCATTAGAGTGAATGGTCATGAGAACAAGCTCAGCTTTATAGTGCTTGATAGAATGTATTAGCAAAATTGAGTCTTAAAGGACACAGAAAGAAATAAAAGCATTCTGTGCGTGAGAAAAGATTTTCCATTTTAGCTTGTAAAAAGAGGGAAGGGACTAGAGATTCTCCACTATCACAAAATAATCAAGGAGGTAGCTGGCAATTTTCTGCTTCTTCCAAAAACTTTGAATCAATCATGCTTAAGATATCATTGAACTACACACCCAAGGTCTCAACTCATTTTGCTGACCTCTCACTTGCTGACATCTTCTTCCCTCCACTCTTCCACACTCTCTCCTGATCTGATGTCTCCTATCTCGCTGTAAACACCATCCTCTAAGCCTATCTCAGTCCCTGGCTTTTGAGCATATACTTGGGTAGATTTCAGGGCTGTTTACATTTTGGTTGTTCCCTTCATGCCATCAACCAAGGATGTGACCCCTTGGTAGTTTAAGATCTGAGAGGCCACTGGAAGTAACTCTGCACAAAGCCCTCTATGAAAAGGAAGAGCATTTGTACCTATGAACTAATATAGTTCTCTGTGCCTTTTAAAAATATGAAGATGTCCTTAGGATTTCCTTCCTGTGTGTATCTCAATTTAAAGCCCTAGCACTGAAGCCATATTTAATATATCACACAAGGTAAAAAGTGGGATATTATTCATGTTTTATTGACATTTTCTATAAACTTAATGATTAATGGCAAACCAGTCAGGATAATAAGATAGGTTATGCAATATTTAACAGTTCATGCCACTAATTTCTGCTGAAGATAAACTTTTTCATTAGGATGCAACTTCACTCTGCCATCTTTTGAAAAGAAAGGAAAATTAACCTGGTGCAAAAAAGTAAGGCAATTAACATGAGGACATTTACTCTAAATGACATTAAGAAACAAAGCTCCAGTCTGTTTAATTAATGATAGTTATTACAAATCAATGACCTATTGTCTGTGGACAAGAGGTTATGGAAGGTACCTGGTGAGTAACCATGTGAGAAAGAAGAGGTGATGCTAATGTGGCTGTTTATGCCATTATAATTAGATATTAACCAGCAAGCTCTTCTTCCATTAAACTCATTTAGAACAGTGAAAGTACAGAGTGGGATGTTGCATTAAAAAAATGTTACGAAGATTCAGGAGTATTTTCTTAATCTCCCATTATATGAAGGTACAAATTTATGGATTAAAATGACATTTAAAATGGAAATTTAGAAAAGAAGGCAGTATAGATGTTAAGATAATAAAAGTTTATCAGTAAACATGTTTATGTCAGTATTTTCTAATTTAGAAAAAATGAGTAGGAGAACATGAAGAAAATTAAATAAGCAATTCATTTCTTTACTTTTACCAAAGGATCAA